TGTTAAAGGGCTCACCTCCTTAATACAACCACTTTGGGTACAGTAGTCTCCCCTTTATCTGGGGGGGAATAAGATCCAAGACCCCTAGTGGATATCTGAAAACTATGAATAGTACCAAATCCCTAGGTATACTATATATTTTCCCCTGTACATACTTACCTTTGATAAAGTTTAACTTATAAATCAGGCACAGTAAGAGATTAGCAATAGCTAATAATAAAATAAAAACAATTTTAACAATATGCTGACATCACTACTCTTGGTCCGAGAGACCGCCGGGGTTTCACTTCATTAACCATATTTCTTATCCCAAAATTGCGGGGTACACCAAGGCTCCCCCCCCCCCCGCGTCCCCGCTCCCCCGCCTCGCCCGCCTTCCTGGACGCGGGAGGAGTCGCCCACCGCTTACTGGTTCGAATCAGCTTGATGATACTGAAACAGGAGAAGCTGAAGAGCACGGCGGCGACCAGGGCCATCCACAAGTTCACATGCTTGGGCCTCATGGCGCCGGCCAAGCGCAGCGGGAGGGCGGCGTGGCGGCGGCGGCACCCGGGATAGGCGGGCTGAGCGCGCGGAGCCCGCGCCCTCGCACGTGCGCCCCTGCGCCCCCTCCCACACCGGGCGCTGGGCAGTCCCCTTCCCGCAGAGCTTCGGCACCCTTTGCTTCCTGTGCTAACGTCCGGCTCACAATAAGCCGCTTGCTAGGCCTGCAGGGAGTTAACGGTTAAACTCCAGGAATGCGCCCCCCCCCCCCCGCCTGGCACGTGGTGGGGGGTGATCAGTAACTATGAGTTTCCTTTCCCGTAGTGGGACATCCGACTTTTCCCCAAGGTTGGGACACACAGGAGAACATCAGCAGGACAAGGCTCTCTTTGGCCTCCTTGATATGAGAACCTTTTGGGTTCTCCCCTCTGTTTTCTCCTTTTTAAAAATAAAAAAGTTTTAAAAAATACTTTTGTTATTTTAAAGATGTAGGGTGCAATTCAGGATTTTAGGTATACAAGTAGTCATCATCGAGGTAACGTTTGGACCTCCCTTTGGTCCCCACTTCGCCCTGCTTGAGATCAGACATCCTTTTGATGTTATATGCCCCGCCTTTCCTTCCCCAGTTTCTGACTACAGCCAGTCTCTTTCTTACAGTATTTTGGTAAATGCTCAGGGCCCGCTCATGAATGAGAACATGTGGCTTTTTGGTCTTTGTGTCTGTGATAGATCACTGAGTATGATACTTGAAATCCATCCAAGTTGCTAAGAAGTTCGTAATTTTGTTCTGTAGTGGCCGAATGTTCAATCCGAGAGACCACCAAGAGCCAATTCTGACGAAAGTTCAAGAGGGTCTTTATTTGCAAGCTCGAGTCTGGACCTCTGTTGACAACCGACGCAGCGGAGTACACCCAGAGGCCCTGACTTCTTTAAGCAGATATCTTTTATGTTTTTACACAAAGGGAGGAGGAGTTTGGGGGGACTTTCCAGTCTTGTTACCATTTAATTGGGTAGTAACCTCT